GGCCTTCGGAGGACAATGGGCTCCCATGGCTACCTCCCCAGCGCCACCCTTCGGGGAGGCGGCTGCCCTCCAAGAGTGAGCTCCCTGGGCACAAAGAAAGGTCGCGGTGCCCGCGTCCAAGAGACACCTCAGGGTGTGGGCGCCCTTGTGCCCAAGCACAAAGGGCCTCCGCTCGCACCCCGAAGCACGGCACTAAAGCTCTGCGCGCACCTCGCCTGGTGCCAGGAGGGCGCCCTAAGCCCGGCGGGACAACGGCGCGACGGGAGGGCGGCGCGGGGAAGCAGGGCCACCTGGCCCCGCCAGTCCGCGGACGGGTGGCCGCCGGGCTCGGTGGAGGCCTGAGGGTGGTGGTGCCCCGGCTGTGAGCTGGCTCCCTTCGCAGCTGCGGCCAAAACCCGGAGAGTGGATGGCGCGCCCTGCAGACACCCGTGTACGTGTGCGCAGAGAACGGCAGACGCGGCAGGTTTTCCCCGGGCAGGGGACGCGCTTCCCCTCCCGAAAGGACCTCCGCGAGACCTGTGCCCACAGCTGAGGCTCGCGGGTGGCGGCCGCCCCCGAAGCACGCGGAGGCGGAGACTGGCAGCTGCTGGCCCCGCAGCGCAAACCCCACCCGCTGCGACACCTGCGCCCGCCCGTCAGGCCGGAAGCCGGAGCCGCGGGCCCCGCCCCTCTTCCCGGAGGCCGGGCGCGAACCGGGTTAATGAATGTTAATTTTCTTAATCCGTCTTCGCTTCTAGACGTCTGCCCAGGGACTGAGTAGCAGACAGGAAAGGGCGGTGTTTTCCGGCTCTGAGGTCCCAGTCCGCACAAGCGGCCCGGGGAAGGGGCTGGAACGCTGGGAGTCCGGCGCCCCCGGGCCCGGCCACTGCCGGGATGCTAAAGCTGGATGGAAACCCTGGCAAATCAAAGACACTTTCCCCACCAACCCCAGGGGACTTGGGGTCTCCAGCGTGCTGTCAGCATCCAGTCCTCACAGCTTCGCCCCCGAGTCTGCTTGAAACCTTCAGAGGACGCACGTTAAGCCCACCTGGTGAACCAGGGCTGACAGCAGTCAAGTGAAAAGGAAACTGGCACAGCTCTTGTGGAAGGCAAAACACTTGGGTGGAGCGTTCAAAGCCTCAAAGAAAATAATAGTTGGAGGGTCAAATGGCCACAAGGGTGTAAGTCAAGTATGAAACTGCTGAAGTGATGTTAGACATTTTACAAGCAAAACAGTTCACGGAGATAAGCACAGGCATTGTTTCCGTTTTTTCTAATCACAACCGTCCCAAAGTTGCCTTTGGCAGATACCTGGATTTCACTCTGGATTCCTGAGAGTTTTACTTGGGGTTCGGTTTTCAAAATATATGTTCCATTTGGCACGAAGGCGTAGATTTTCTATATGAATTTATTGAGAGATATTGCATGTTATTGGCTTACTTCGATAACAGTATCTTTATAAATATGGATGAATGGCTTTCATTACAATATTTTTATAAGTACAAATAGTATGTAGACATTTATAAAAATACCATCTGAAAAATTCCATTTGCTCACACAAAGACATTCCCTACACATGTCTTGTGCATAAAGGAAAACTTTTTTTTCATTTACTTTATTGTCAGCTGCTGTTAAAAAACAGTTCCATAGGACTAATCAAGTAACCTTTGTATAGCTTGCGGCAGGTTGTTTGCGGTAAGTTTTCTTCTAAAGCCCCCTTTGCACTTTCCTACAGTGTATCTCACCTTCGAGAGCAGTGGTTCTCAACTTGTGGGTTGCAACCCCTTTAGGAGTCAAATGACCCTTCACAGGGGTTGCCCCATTCATCACAGTAGCAAAATGACAGTGATGAAGTAGGAACGAAAATAATTTTATGCTTGGGGGTCACCACAACATGAGGAACTGTATTAAAGGGTTGCAGCGTTAGAGAGGTTAGAACTGTTGTAGAGACTCTCGCTTTCCACCTTTCCTGTATGAGCTCAGAACCTGCCACTCGCAATGCCCAGGGTTGCTGATTTGCTCTCCCTGGCTTCTTTGATGCCCGGTGTTTTACATGGGTGGGGGGGGGGTCTTCAGTAAAGAGAGAATGCCCTTATATAGTGGCTCTTCCTTCCAATTGCCTGCATTCCCCGTGCTATGATTTAATGGATATAGAATTCCACATGTTGAGTGAACACACATTGAAAGAGAGTCAAAAATTTTTGGAAGATTTTAAGGGTTCTGAGATTCTGCTCTGACTCTCAGCAAAGTGAGCCTTGAAAAATTTATCAAACTAGAAGCCTAATTTGAAGCTAAGACAATGGAGATATACAGATATATTAACCTGGCTCATGAATGCACCAGTATCTATAGAGCATCTATCTAGCCCAACACTAAGCTATTTTCCCCTTAGTTCTGACTGTGAGAGAATAGCTGTCCAGAAACATACAGTCTACTTAAAGGGACAGAGAGTGACATAACAGTTATCATACAAGTGCTTACAGACACTCTTAGTCCCAGCTGAAGGCTGAGAGCGCTAAGCCAGGCCTTTCCCCTATTCAGCAAACCCACTTCCATCCAGTCTATTCCAACTCATCGCAAGCTGGTGGAACCTGTAAATCTTTACAGGGGCAGATTGCCTCATCTTTTCCCCTCAGAGTAGCTGGTGGATTTGAGCCACCAACGTTGCAGTTAGCAGCCCAAGGCCGCCTCCAAAACGCTACCAGGGCTCCTTGGGCCTTGCCCCAGAGCTGCTGAAGATGAATCATCCTTTCAGTAAATGTGTGCAGATGTAACGGTTAAGAAGCATGGGCCAAGAGCAGAAATTTTCAACCTTCTGTAAAACTCGATTTAAAGCCTCATGGATCTATGAACATTCTTGTTGGAAAAATTACACGCCGAGAGTGACACACATACACATGTTCTTTTGCAAGGACCCTCAGGGTTCCCTGAAGGTAAGGAAGGCCTCGGTTAAGGGCACCAGCCACAAAGAACGAAGAGCAGCTAGGTGTCAGCTGGGGGATAGAAGAGGATTCTAGCAGGAGGCAGACCTTCAATAGACCTTGGAATGGGACACTTCAGGTGGGAGGAACACATCGTTAAATGGGTCTACGGGGGAAGTCAGCAACGATCTATTTTTATATAAAATTGAGAAACCAAACTCACTACCACATAGTCAATTCTGACTCATAAGGAGGCTATAGGACAGGGTAGCACTGCCCCTGTGAGTTTCTGAGACTAACTTTACTGGAATAGAAAGCCTTGTCTTTCTCCTCGGAGCCACTGGTGGTTTTGAACTGCTGGCTTTGCACTTAGCACCCCAACACATAACCTCTAAGCCAATACAAAGGAGCTTCGAAAAATTTGTGGCGAAATGGTATGAGAAGATAATGGAATTTCCTACTGTCAGGCTTGATGTTGGCCTCGTAGTGACCCCAAGTGACAGAGTAGAATTGCCCTGCGAGCTTTCTATGCAGTAATCTTTCTGGGAGCAAGTTGCCAGGTAGACTGGCTGGCAAGCCTTTCACCAACCAGGGACCCCCATATACGTGTGGCGAGGTTTCTCCTGTACCAGTTATGTGGGAAACCGAAATGGACAAAGAGATTGTAGTTTGATAGCAGGCCTTTCATTATCATTATTTCAGCCACCACGACCACCACTCCCTCCCCAAACAGCAAGGAATTAGTGTGGACTCCGTAGTCATTCCCCTTCCGGAGCTGCTGGAATCCTATGACAAGGAATGCTAGGATTAATTTCCCTTTACGGGCGCTTCCTCCCTCACTGTGCTCTGGTCACACAGTCTTTAGGCTGGTCCTGACATTCCAAATACACTCCCATTGTCAGGCAACACTCTTCCTCCCCACAGAAACAACCAAACACCTGACTCCTCCCTCAAGCCTCTGAGATCTTTATGCCAATGAACCTCATCAGAGATGCTTCCCCTTTAGGTAACAGCCTGGCCCACATTCCCTTTCACTAAAGAAAAGACCAGAATACAGTCTTCATGACCCTTCTCAAGACTCGGTGTTCTTGTCGCTGTTCATTACCATTGAGTGGCCTCTGCCTCCTGGCAACTCCAGGCACAACAGAATGAAAGGTGGTCCCATCCTGCATCCCCTCATCACCATTGTTGGAAGGAATACTGGAGTCCAGGATTTTCACCACTCTATTTTGAACACCTTTTCCCAGTACAACATCTGATAGTGTTTCTAGTATGATCTGTAATGTTTCCACTGGCTAACTTTCTCTAGTAGTTCCCCAGGTCTGTCTTCCGCATCTGTCTGAGTCTGGAAGCTCTGCGAAAACCTGTCCACCATGGGTGGACCCTGTTGGTATTTGAAATATTGGTGGCATAGCTTTTAGCCTCCTGGCAACAGACAGGCCACGATCGTGCAACAAACTGGCAGAGGGGTGCTACCCACCCACTGCTATCGAGTTGATTCCAATGCATAGCAACCCTGCTTAGGGTTTCCGAGGCTATACACATTTGTGGGAGCAGAGAGCCTCATCTTTCTCCTGGGGACAAGGTAGCCTATTTGCAAACTGCAGACCTTCTGGTTAGTGGTCCACTTAGCAACAGCGCCACCGGGACTCCTCAGATGAGTGGTAGTGGACCTGATTTTTTAAATTCTAAATTAGGAGGTGGGGTTACATTT